TTGAGAGTGTCTTCGTTTGGTGTTGTTAGTTTGTGTGAGTGCATTTTTGTGTGTATTTGCATATGTTTGGGTGATTCTGTGTTTGTGTGTGTTGAGGCTCACGTGTGTTGCTGGGCTGTGAGTCCATGGGAATCATCATCTTGGTGCGCGTCGCTCTTCTGGCAGCTAAAGATCTCTCTAATGTGGAGATACTGCTGGAGGATTCATCAGCATCCGCACCTGAACACACACACACACACACCTTCAGCAGGACACACACACACATCTATATACACGTGTATGTACACACACACACACACACACACACACACACACACACACACACACACACATACATACATACATACATACACACACATACACGCATGCACACAGCCCGCCTGCAGCCTCACCTGAGTGGCTGCTCTTGCTGCCCATCTGGCTCTCTGATTGGCTGTGGCTGACTGGAGGGATCTCCTGGCAGCTCTGGATTGGTGAGTCTCGGCCGGAGGGGGCGGAGCCTGAGGGCTTCTCCATGTTCTTCAGCTCCATCTCCTCATGGTGGATCCACAGGTCTGGAGGACGCAGGTCTTTCTGGCTGCCCTTACGCTTGCCTGCACTGTGTGTTGCACGCTTCCTACACACACACACACACACACCCATCAGAGTTAGCAACAATCACAGGAAACATCTTCATTTTTACATTCTCTGATTTAGGAGACAAAAAATGTCCCCACAAGGTCAAAATTTACTGGTATTACTATACTTGTGGGGACATTTTACACAGCATAAGGAATATGAGGTGTACACACACTCAGACAGTAAAAATAACGCAGCTCTTGTGGAACATAATGATGTTGTTTGTCTGCAGGGCTACTGCTGTCAGACTGAAGTGGATGTGAAGTGTGTGTGTGGCAGGTGATAATGAGGTCTGAACTTGTGGCATCTTACCTTCACACAGACAGTAGCCTCTCTTTCTCTCTCTCTCTCACACACACACACACACACACACACACACACACAGCTGAAATATTTGAGATGACTTTATTTCTTGATTGGAGGATTGAGATGAACTGTGTCTGCTTTACTGTGGAGATGTAGTAAAGGCGGCCCATTTTGACCCGTAGTGTGTAATAGTGTATAGAGAATAACTGTAACACAACAAGAAGTTGATTGACTCACTTCCTCTGCTGAGCGGATGATCGTCGGGTGCAGATGAGCGCCACAATCAGCACCACCACCACCGTCACCGCTCCCACCGACACCACGATGATGACCAGCAGATTACTGTTCTTCTGCGGGGTCACGCTGCCGTGAGGGGGACGCATCTGCCCGATTGGAGCCTCTGCAACAACATTATCAACACCAGCAGAGTTTACAAGCTGCTTTCATCAGGTACTCTTACCCCATATTTCAAAATCCCCTGGGTTATCATATTGAAATAAAACCCCGCCCCCTACTCGATATTCATTTTCAGCTGGACATACGTCATCATACAAAATAAAACCCCGCCCCCTACTCAATATTCATTTTTAGATAGTTACATAATTAAATTAAAATAAAACCCCACCCCCTACTCAATATTTATTTTTAGATAGTTACATAATCATATTAAAATAAACCCCACCCCCTACTCAATATTCATTTTTAGATAGTTACATAATCATATTAAAATAAAACCCCACCCCCAAATATTCATTTATAGATAGAGCTACATAATCATATTAAAATAAAACCCCACCCCCTACTCAATATTCATTTTCAGCTGGAAATACGTCATCATACAAAATAAAACCCCGCCCCCTACTCAATATTTATTTTTAGATAGAGCTATGTAATGATGTTAAAATAAACCTCCGCCCACTACTCAATATTCATTGTTAGATAGAGCTACATAATCATATTAAAATAAAACCCCACCCCCTACTCAATGTTCATTTTCAGCTGGAAATACGTCATCATACAAAATAAAACCCCGCCCCCTACTCAATATTCATTTTCAGCTGGAAATAAGTCATTATACAAAAATAAAACCCCGCCCCCTACTCAGTATTCATTTTCAGCTGGAAATACGTCATCATACAAAATAAAACCCCTCCCCCTACTCAATATTTATTTTTAGATAGAGCTATGTAATGATGTTAAATTAACCCCCGCCCACTACTCAATATTCATTTTTAGATAGAGCTACATAATCATATTAAAATAAAACCCCACCCCCTACTCAATAATCATTTTCAGCTGGAAATACATCATTATACAAAAATAAAACCCCGCCCCCTACTCAATATTCATTTTCAGCTGGAAATACATCATCATACAAAATAAAACCCCACCCCCTACTCAATATTCATTTTTAGATAGAGCTACATAATCATGTTAAAAATAAACCCCGCCCACAACTTAAAATTGAATTTCCGCTAGAAACCCGTGATCACACAGAAATAAACGCTGCCCCCTACTCAATATTCATGTTCAGTTGGAAATACATCATCATACTAAAATAAAACCCCGCCCCCTACTCAATATTCATCTTTAGATAGAAATACGTAATCATATTAAAATAAAACCCTGCCCCCTACTGAATATTCAGTTTCAGTTGGAAAAGTAATCCTATTAAAATAAAACCATGCTCCTTACTCAATTTAATTTTTTTGTTAGAAATACACAATTATACTAAAATAAAACACCGCCACCCTCTCAATAATCAGCTTCAATTATGAATACATTATTATACTGAATTAAACCCCGCTCCCCTACTTAATATTAATTTTGATACAATAATAAAACCCCGCCCCCTACTCAATGTTCAGTTTCAGCTGGAAATATGTCATCATATTAAATAAAACCCCGCCTCCAACTCAATATTTAGTTTCAGCTGCCATTATGTCATCATACTGAAATAAAACCCCACCCCTACTCAATATTTAGCTGAAAGTTAGTCATAATACTGAAATTAAGCCCCGCCTCCTACTCAATATTCAGTTTTAGCTGGAAATATGTCATCATACTGAAAAAAAAAATAAAACCCCGTCCACTACTTAATATTTAGTTTCAGATGAAAATACATCATCATACTGAAATAAAACCCCGCCACTACTCAATTTTTAGTTTCAGCTGGACATACGTCATCACAGTGATATAAAAACCCCGCCCCCTACTCAATATTCCTCTAAAATACGACATCATACTGAAATAAAACCCCACCCCCTACTTAATATTCAGCTGAAAATACGTCATAATACTGAAATAAAGCCCCACCCCTACTCAATTTTTAGTATCAGCTGGACATACGTCATCATACTGATATAAAAACCCCGCCCCCTACTTAATATTCCGCTTCAAATAAATCATCATACTGAAATAAACCCCGCCCCTTACTCATTATTCAGCTGAAAATACATCATCATACTGAGATAAAACCCCGCCCCTTACTCATTATTCAGCTGAAAATACGTCATCATACTGAAATAAAGCCCCGCCCCCTGTTCATTATTCAGTTTCAGTTGAAATGTAATAATATCAAAATAAAGTCATGCTCCCTAGTTAGTATTAATTTTGTTGTATATATATATATATATCATCATCATCATCATCATACTGATATAAACCCCTCCCCCTACGTGATATTCAGTTTCAATTGAAAACACTTCATAATGAAACAAACCCCTCCCCCCACTCAATATTCATATAGAAACAAGCCATCATAATGATATAAACCTCCGCACCCTATTCAGTACATTATAGTCAGAAATATAATCATCTTAAAATATCCCCCCCACTCAATAATAATGTTCAATTGTAAATGGTTGCATCATCACACTGTTTCACACAGACTTTAAAGCATCTCCATCCCAGCGCTGAAGCAGAGTGAGGAGCAGACAGTGACTGAAGAAATGAGTTCACAGGCGCTTTATTCTCTTTGTGTTTCTGCTCTTATTGTGATTGATCTGACGCACCGCAACAAATAAATGTTTCTCTTCATAATCAGCAAACACAAACACCACCGAGAGGAGCTCATCAGCATGAATATTAACACACACACTAACACACACACATACACACACGCACACACACCTGACTTCATTTCAGGATGTATTGATTTATTTCTGCACTTGTTTCTCGCTGTTGCTGTTTGATTTATGAAGTCTAAATCACTCCAATATGAAGATCTGATGATCAAAAACACATTTATGATCATTATCAGTGTTGAAAATAGCTCATATTGCTTCATATAAGTGTGGAACCCAGGGTATTTAATTATTAAATTAATGTTCATATATTTTGCTGGATTCACAAGTAAATAAAAAGAGTTTGGATGATGCAATATTCTGAAAACAAACCTTATTATTTGATCAGAATGGCAATACTCATAAACCAGATACAATACTATCACTAATATAAATGTTTATGTAAATATTTGTACATACACATAATATACACTCACCGGCCACTTTATTAGGTACACCTGGCAACTGCTTATTAAGGCTAATGTCTAATCAGCCAATCACATGGCAGCAGCTCAGTGCATGTAGACATGGTCAAGAGGATCTGCTGCAGTTCAGAGTGAGCATCAGAATGGGGAAGAAAGGGGATTTAAGAGACTTTGATCGTGGCATGGTTGTTGCTGCCAGACGGGCTGCTCTGAGTATTTCAGAAACTGCTGATCTACTGGGATTTTCACGCACAACCATCTCTAGGGTTTACAGAGAATGCTCCGACAAAGAGGAAATATCCAGTGAGCGGCAGTTCTGTGGGCGCAAATGCCTTGTTGATGAGGCCAGAGGTCAGAGGAGAATGGCCAGACTGGTTCCAGCTGATAGAAAGGCAACAGTAACTCAAATAAGCACTCGTTACAACCGAGCTCTGCAGAAGAGCATCTCTGAACACACAACACGTCCAACCTTGAGGCGGATGGGCTACAGCAGCAGAAGAGCACACCGGGTGCCGCTCCTGTCAGCTAAGAACAGGAAACTGAGGCTACAATTCACACAGACTCACCAAAACTGGACAATAGAAGA